GTGATGTATGTAACATGTTACATGATGTATGTAACAATAATTAAAATAAATATGTAGTTGCACCCCAATGTTTATAGCAGCAATGGCCACAGTCGCCAAACTGTGGAAAGAACCAAGATGCCCTTCAACAGACTAATGGATGAGGAAGATGTGGTCCATATACACTATGGAGTATTATACCTCCATCAGAAAGGATGAATACCCAACTTTTGTGGCAACATGGACGGGACTGGAAGAGATTATGCTGAGTGAAATAAGTCAAGCAGAGAGAGTCAATTATCATATGGTTTCACTTATTTGTGGAACATAACAAATAACATGGAGGACACGGGGAGATGGAGAGGAGAAGGGAGTTGAGGGAAATTGGAAAGGGAGATGAACCATGAGAGACTATGGACTCTGAAAAACAATCAGAGGGCTTTGAAGGGGCGGGGGGTGGGAGGTTGGGGGAGCCAGGTGGTGGGTATTAAGGAGGGCACGTATTGCATGGAGCACCGGGTGTGGTGCAAAAACAATGAATTCTGTTACACTGAAAAGAAATAAATAATTATAAATAAATAAATAAATAAATATGTAGTTGCAAGTCAAAATCCTCATTCCCAAAATGAAGACTCCAAAGAGAAAATAAAAATGAATCCCAAATCTATTGTCAGGATGTTGAGTGCTGATCAGTATTAATATTAACTTTTTTTCAGAATGTGAGACCACTTGAGTTAGAACACTCATTTCTCCTAGTGAGAATCAATTTAGGGCCAAAGCTAGGCTCTCTTGTCAAGTGCAGCATTCTTTTCAGAGTTGCTATAAATGGATATTGAACTATATGGTCTCTAGGTTTAGGCTAAAATTCATGAAAGAGCAGGAATTATTACTAGTTCAAAAATTACTGGCTGTAATCAGAGAGGCTCATCAGAGAGGACCTGAGAATGTATGGTAGCCATTTGTTGTCTTTAAGTGAGATATGGAACGAACTTCTACTAGGATTTTCAGACATAATAAGGGAGGTACTCATTTTAAGGCCAGTACCTCTCAGCCTTGGTAAACCTCAACAAGATGCTAAGAGCTGAACTTCAGGAATGCCAGCTGTCTTCAGCCACAGTCATAACACCTGAAGCAGCAGGTGACTGAGGAGCTAAGTAGCCAGCTACACTACAGTTCTTCTTGCCTCCAACAAAGAAGTTATGTACTTTCACCACACTCATTGCAATGCATTCCATTTGCTGAGAAAAGTAGCTTATGCCATTGTTGAACGCTGCTTTCAAGTTCTGATATACTGGATTCATTTATTCTGTATAAACAGCATCCAGTTAATATTATTCCCTGCCCTTCCTCTAAATTAAGCCATCTTCTGGGACCTCTGCTTCACACTCTTTCACAAGGCTGTAGTCAAAGTGTTGGCCAGGGCTGTGGTCTCATCGGAAGGCTGGACTGGGAAAGGATCAGCTTCCATGGTTGTTGGCAAGATTCAGGTCTTCAAGAGTTGTTAGACTTGCTAGTTACTGATCAGAGGCCGCTCCCAGTTCTTCATCATGTGGTTTCCACCAACACAGCAGTTTGCTTCATCAAAACCAACAAGAATGAGAATCTGCTGGCAAGATGGAAGTCACAATCTTTGTAGCCTAATCACAGATATGACATCCCCACAATCCTGCCATATTCTATAGATTAGATTAGATTAGATTAGATTAGCAAATTATTCAAGGAGATGAAATACAAAATCTTGTAAATAACAGGAGACAGGGATCATGGGAGCCATCTGAGAGTCTGTCTGCTACAGCACTTAATGGCACATACCAGATATGAAAGGAAGAAGGAAGGAAGGAGAAGAGAGTGAAAGGAAGGAGAAAGAAAGGAGGAAGGTAGGGAAAGGAGGACATGCAGTGAAACAGACATTAAAAATAGCCTGGCTGCACTATGCCTGTATCAGAGTTCTTCTTTGGGTACACACTACATAACATTAGCGTCACAGCCATGAACCATGAATTTCCTATTTCTTATTTAGAATGAGAATGTAATAGGGAGCTTTCTATACATCTGGAGTTAAAATGAAACAATAGGGGCGCCTGGGTGGCTCAGTGGGTTGGGCCTCTGCCTTCGGCTCGGGTCATGATCCCAGGGTCCTGGGATCGAGCCCCGCATCGGGCTCTCTGCTCAGCAGGGAGCCTGCTTCCTCCTCTCTGCCTGCCTCTCTGCCTGCTTGTGATCTCTGTCTGTCAAATAAAAAAAAAAAAAAAATTAAAAAAAAAAAAAAATGAAACAATAAACAAGCGGACTAAGTTTAAGCAATAAAAATGTGTTTCAAATTAATTTTTTTATGTTTTTTTCTCCCCAGCTAGCAAACTTTTTTCTTTTCTGTTTCAAGTTTTTGGGTTGGGTTTACTATTCTTGCCATTATGTGGCAGACTTGTTGCACCCGGAATATGAAAACCTCAATGGTGTTTGCTTTTGGTGTTCCCTGGTTGTGTCAGCTTAAATGCTAAAATTGTGTTTTAGTTGTGTACATTATTATTAATGGTAGTATGTGTCATTTATTATAAATTTATTATATATATAAAAATTTATATAATATATAATTTTATATATAAATATATAAAAAGTTATATAATATATAATTTTATATATAAATATATAATATATTTATATATGTTATATATTATATTAATATATTATAAGTATATAAATATATCAGTATATATTATAAATATATAAAATAAATTTATAAATATATAAACTTATATGATATATAATATATAATTTATAATTTATAATATATAATATATAAATTTATTATAAAAGTGAAGTTGTATAGTAGCTTGAATCTCATCTCTTCCAGCCTCTCTATTGAGGAGACTGAGGTCCAAATGGCTTGGGAAGATCAGGGCTAAGAGTAGCAGAGCCAGGACTCAAACACAGATCTCTGAATTTGTAATCCAGTGCATTTCCTCTTCTTAAACTTCTGTGCGGAGGAGTAGCCAGAATCTGCAATAGTCTCCTCAAACCTGCAGGCATTAAAAATACTTGTGGCTGAAATATATTCTATTAATTACTTATATTCTTGGATGATCTGAAACTAACCTTTTCAGTGCTTCAGCGAATAGAAAAAGGAACTTTTCCAGGTACTCTACTGTACAATAGGCGCTTACCTAACAAAACACACACCTTTTTCACTCTCTTCAATTGTAGCAGATCCTACATGTTAGTGCTCTCAGAGAGGTTTGTAAATGCTGACCACCAAGAGGGCTGAGCACCTGCCCTTGGTACCAAGCAGATCCTATCCAGGTCCCAAAACTCTTGTGAATCTCTTAGTTAATACAGAAAAAGGAATCTCTTAAAATGGTGTGACTATGGAATTTCATTAAGACATTCTGTCACTCCCAATATGTGTTCTCAGGGCAGAGGACCTATCTGCTACTCAGGATCTCTTGAAGATTCATTTACCTGTGACCAGACAATTTGGGACATTAGATGTTCTAAAACGAGGACACATTTCCCCAGCCTGAGCTTCTTGGCTGCATTTATATGGGTATTAGTGGAAGGAGGATGGGGTCTCCATTTCCCAGCCCCTTATCTCCTTACTCTGCTCATCTTTCTACACGGAATTCCCCTGTCCTCCGCTAAAAGAGAAACCCCACAAGGACCAGAACGTTAGTTTTATTTCCTGCTCTACTCTTGGAAGAGGGCCTGGAACAAAGTAGATGTTTAGTGTTTGTTGAGTGGATGGCTGAATGATGGATTTATTTAGAAGGTTTAGAACATCCCATTTGTTAGGATTTTGCTGACAAAGGGGAAAAGAGGCATGTTTTGATTCAGAACACCAGAAAGGAACCTGGAACTTGGAATTAGGGGGTTTTATGTGTTTGGCTGCCTGCTATTTATTTCTAAATTATGTTTTAAAGTGTTCATAAAGATACTTAAAATCTGAGAGTCTCCCTGTTGCCTAGAGATGAGAGCTTTAGATCAGAGAACAAATATATTGTTTACAATCAAACGGAAGACTAATCCTGTAAGGAAGAAAAAAAGAAAAAAGGAGCTTGACTATCTCCCAAATGGCCGTGGAGATCAGAGAACAATGAAAAATAATATACAAAAAATCTGTTTTGCCTCAGACTTGTCTGTTGCAAATTTCATCCGTGTGGTGTTTGGGCTAATAGCCTAACACTAGGAGGCAATCACCACTTCCCAAATTAGAACTGACACATAAGTATGCAGAAGTTTTTCAGTCATCATCTACCTAATGGTTGTACTGGCTGAATCTTTTTAAAGAATGCAAACATAAGTGGCTCTTTATTTAAAAAAAATTAAAATAAAAGGAGGAAAGGCCCCATAGTGGATGCCATGGTCCCAGGCCATATCCCCTTGTCCCATCTGATGCCAGTGCCTGCATCTGGGGCTCATGGCCACCATCGTGCACATTGCCACGTCCACTTCAGGAGCCTGTCCAGGCTTTTCCCAAGCAAGTCACGCGAGATCTTCAGCCCATGTGTGGGTGTGCCCTAGAAGGTCATGGGCATGAACACCTCCAGGGTAGCCCCCAGGCAGTGGAGGGTGGGAGTGAGGAGGACAAACACCGCAGCCTCCCCTCCTTCTCTAGGACACACTCCACACTCTACAGATTCTCCCAGAGGCCTCTGTGGAGGTCCCCTGGCTGGGCACTGTGGGAGCCCCCTGGACAACATGCATTGTTGGCTGTCCTCCCTCCCCTTCCCTTTCTCTCTGGCCCTACTTCCTGTTCCGGGGTCACTTTCCAAATAAGCCCTACCTCTAGTTCTGGTTTCTCCAACAGGCCCTAAAAATAATGTTTGACATAAAGACAAAACAGCTTGTCCCTGGAATCGAGAGCTGACAGAGAAATGACTGGCATACAATGAGCTCTGAAACCACAACCCAGGAAAACCGTGTCTCTAGAGGAAATGGTTCTTCTTTACCACTTTATGTGTGAGTTTTATTAGAACCATACCTGACCCTCCTGATTTCATGCGTTGCCTTTTCTGTTTATTCTGCAGATTCTTCTGGGAAGCCTAAGTTCACCAAGTGCCGTTCACCTGAACTAGAGACTTTTTCATGCCACTGGACCGATGGGGTTAATCATGGTTTGAAGAACCCAGGATCCATACAGCTGTTCTATATTAGAAGGTGCAACCTTCATCCGTCCTGACTTTTCCCTCCATAGATTTTCAGATGAAAGTTTACTGAGTGGTATGCAGTGGTGGACATGTGATGACTTAAATGTGTACATTTATTCAAAAAATATTAATTAAGCCCTTACTACATGTTGGGGCCTATCTAGGGCACCAGAGATACAACGCTGATTGCAAAAAAGTTAGAGACCCTGGCCTCGTGGAGCGTCACTTCCAACAGGGGAAGACAGACCATAAAAAATAAATAAATGTCAGCTGGTAATATGGGTTATTAAGAAAAGTAAAAGCCAGAGGATAGGAAGTGTCCACACTGTGAATGAGGACATGCGTGTGCATGAGAGTGTCTGAGGGTGAGTGTGAGTATGAATGAGCCTACGTGTCAGTGGGTAAAAATGTGAATATGCATGAGTGTGTGTGTGTGTGAAGTGTGTGCAAGGGTGAGTGTGTGTGAGAAGGTGTGGAAGCAGGTACATGGAGGTGCACAAGGATGTGAACATATAAGTGTATATGAGAGAGCAAATACATGGAAGTGTAGATAAGCGTGTCTGTGTGTGTCGGCATGTGTGCGTGTGTGTAGGGAGCTTGGGTGAAACTTTAGATGAGCAGCTAACGTGGGCCTTGCTGATGTGGTGTGTTATAGGAGAGACAGAAGTGAAGTGAAAGAGGCCCATAGGAATGTCTGCGGTGGGGAGACTGCAGGAGAGGAAATTACTGGAGCGAAGGTCCTGAGGCTGATCTGTTTGAGGAAAGCAGGAGGCCTGCATGGATGGCACAAGATAAAAAGGGACATGACTTTAGAAGAAGTCAAAAAGTTAGCCAGAGGGGCGCCTGGGTGGCTCAGTGGGTGTAGCCTCGGCCTTCAGCTCAGGTCATGATCTCAGGTCCTGGGATCGAGCCCCACATCGGGCTCTCTGCTCCGCAGGGAGCCTACTCCCCCCCCCCTTCCTGCCTCTGCCTACTTGTGCTCTGTCATAAATAAATAAAATCTTAAAAAAAAAAAAAAAAAGTTAGCCAGAGCCAGACTGCCAAGTCTTGTTGGCCATGGCTAGGCCTTGAATTTGACTTTACCTGTGGTGGACTTTGAGAAGACATGTATGTTTTAAAAGACTCAGCTTGGTGTTTATGTAGAAAACAAACTATGTTTCTATTAAATTAGTGATACCCAGTAAGGAATTATAATAGTTTTCTATTCCATTTTGACTGGTTGTCTTGTAAAATAACAGAGGAAGAGTGAAACAAAGATCTCGATATAATCACCATCCAGCTCGTTTCTTTCTGACCCCTCACCTGGAATTATTTCCATTTCTGTTTACTCTTACGTTGTACCTTTTTGCCTTTTCTAAGTTTTAGGTTTAAATACTTTGTCCTTTCCTCTTTTCCACCCAGCCCCCAGGGAAGGCCTAAGCCAAGAAACAAGGTTAGCCAGGGTGGGAGTGTTCATCAGTCCAAGGCTGATGCCATCTACCCCTCGGAGGAGTGTGGAAACAGAGGAAAGATGCAAGGAGCAGCTAAAGACACAGGCTCAGGTCCAACACACCGCATCTCGGCCTGACTCTGGCACTCACTGAGGAATGCCAGGCAAAGTAGTCCGTTCACAACTCAGCCGCCTCATTTGCGAAACGGAGATAGTAGACCTTGTCTCATGGCTTCTTGTGAGGGTTTTATTGGATAATACATGAAAAATACTTAGCGCCGTGCTTGGCCCAGCCTGTGTACTCAACAAATGGTAGCTGCTGTGATGATTGGTGATATGATGACAATTTAAAATGGTAAGCATACAGAAATCCAATTCCTGGGCTACAGTAATTACTTCTGATTCTTTCTGGCTAGTGATTATTGGTCTTCTAAGGCTGTTGTCAGTGCAAAACTGGGTCCTCAGTTTACAAATAAATGCTTTGAGTTAGCAACTCCTGCTGGCCTTCCCCACTTCCCAGGTGTGAGGAAGGTTACTTGGCTGTGCCCCAGAGGGCACACAAATAATGACGTGGCTGGGCACCAAAAGCACTTTTTTTCTTTTAAGGCTGACGATACAGAGAGGTAGGGATGGCGAGACTACGCTGGTTTGGGGAAATGCATCTGGACAGGAAGCTTTTATGATTGTAACACTTTGGAATATCTGCTGAGTAGACTGTTAAATTGAGAGAGATTTCGGAAGTACAGAGAGCCGGCCCAGTGAGAACAAAGTTGTGTGTATAGTAAGGAACAAAACTGAAGAGAGAGAGGGCAGAGTCGGACCCATGTTATGAAAATGGGTTATTACCAACCATAATAGTCACCTAATCTGAACTTGAGCCAAAAGATAAACCCAAAGGTATGAAGCCCTCACAAATATATATTTGTTCCTTACTTTCTTCCATCCAGGTCACATGCCTTTGCCTTCAGGCCTCCTCTGCACACCTGGGCCTTTGAGCAGACCTAGTCGGAAGCCAGGCTCTGTGCTAACGGAGATGCCACAGAATGTGTGAACAGGTGGAGGGCAAATCCCAGAGTATTTGGAAGGACGTCATTAATTGTTGCCGTAGTGGGGTTTGGGATCCCAGGGGAAAACTATCACATCTTCAAGCCCCCAAGCGCAACCTCATGATGAGAGCCAACCCCAACTTGTGTTTTCTCTACAAAAATATAATTATTCTATCTAACCAAAATAGCAGAAGCCTCAGCCCAGTTTATCTAGGAAGGGTAGAATCCAAAGGGCTGGTATGTCAGGCCCAGACCGCACCAGCGAGTACACAAACGTGTCAGCCTTCACACCGGTCCCTGGTACAAAGAGGACCATATAGGTGTGCTTTCTGACTTCTCAGTCAGGTCCCAGAAGTTGTCAGAATTCAGGTCCCAGGCAACTCCCGGAACTATAGAATCATGACCCCTCTTCCTGGACACATGAAGCCAGGACAGGATTTCATCCAGAACTGGGGCAAGGGGAGACAAGAAGGCTTGGCGAAGGGGCCCGTGCACTGGGCTTTCAGTTTACCAGCCTGGCGTTGGTAACTAAAGCACAAAGGAGCCTAACCACGTCAGGCTGTCCACTGGGTGGGCGTGGAGGCAGCCATGCTCGTGGCTCTTTGCTCCTGGCCAGGCGAGCCAGCTGACACAGACCTGCCTCTCCCGCCCAGTCATGGCTGCTATGCCAGGTCTAGTCTCACTGCTGGGAGAAGACTCAGCCTGAATGACATTGCAGGCCCGCAGAGAGGCTCCGCCCTCAGCTCCTTACCTACAGACGCATTATTGATGAAGAAAGTGGGCACGTGAAGGCTCAGTCCCTAAGACTCTAACCCCCCCACTTCTGTCATCTCCCACACTCACTCCCCTTAACCAATTATCCTGGCCTATCAAAAGAAAGTGTATTTTCCATGCAAGGTTCTGGGGGAGATAAGAAGGGAGAAAGGGCACTCTTGCTTTTCCTTTTTTTTTTTCTAGAGAAAAGATTTAATTTTAAGCCAAAGTACATGATCTGTATGTAATGAAAACAGTTGTCTTTAGAACATAAATGATGTTTTATTATTAGGATTTTTCTTCTAGTTACTAGATGTAAAAGCATTTGGATGGAAAGTATTTCTTCTGTTCTTTATTCTGATTTTTACCAGTAGTCTCCTTATACAGCCTTCCTTCCATTTCGCAAGATAGACTAGGAGCAAACCTCATGCCCTTAAGTCTTAGGGGTATGACAAAGAGAAAGTAGTTTCCATAAACTGACTTTGGTTGCCTGCGTAGAAATTCAACCCAGGGAAAGCAGGCCAGAGTCTCTGTTTTGTGAGCCCATTTGTTTATTTGTTTCTTTGGTGGGTTGTTTTTGGTTTTTTGTTTTTTGTTTTTTGGCTAAATTTAAGAGTTTAAAAATAATTTTTAAGTATTTATTTAAAATAAAATTCAACTTTGGTTAATGAGGGGGAGGGCGCTGGTAGTTGTGTTTTGAACTAACTGTTCTGTGCTTCAGATAAGTGCTTTAAGTTGTTTGCTCTGTGGAACTAATGGATCTGGAATAATCTAAACAAGGTTTTTCATGCAGTCCCCATGGGGACATGTTGAGGTTGAGAAACCGTAAAACACACAGAGCTAACCTTCCTATTACAAATCCAAACCTGCTAAGTACTGTAGTATAGCTTTACATTTTAATACTTTTATACTATCAACTATGCTAAATATATTTTTTATCTATCTTATTATGTAAGAGCCTCATTTCTCTGGGCAATCTTGCTAAACCATTCTCTTCAACATACCCTTACTTAGTTAGAAAGTCAAGATAAAATAAACTATATTGTAGGTCAATGACCCACCTATCCCTAATTTTTTAATCCTTTTCCTACTACTCTAAACATACACACACACACCTACACATATGTACACAAATACACACAAACACACCTACACATATATACCTACCCACGTATACACACATACACACTCACACCACTCACATTCCCCATCAGGGATAAATCTCCCTCTCATCCAAGGGTATGCAACTTTTCAGAATCTCCGCCAGAATTTAAGCCACAGTTCACTGGCCATGTTAATCCCAAGTTCTTTCCAACAGCTGATGAGCAACTGTGTCAAGGACGCCCTCATACTATACAACTTTCGTCCTAGTGCCAAAGAGACCAGCCTGAGAAACAACTGTAAAAAAGGAGGCGTGTGTTGTCTTCCAGCTCATCCCTTCCCATAGCCTGTGGTGTCCTTGTCGTTCCTTGCTACCCAGCACCCGTCCCCGAGGGGGATGCTCACAGACCTCCACGCTCTGGCTTACCAGCCCCAAGCACCTCAGCCTACACAAAGTCATTCCTGTCTTCTTCCCCCTCAGCCACAGACCACTGGCTTTATGTCTCCTTGACTTATAAACCTTCTTCTCAGCTGATACCTCATGAGTAATGAGTAAATAATGAAGTACTCACCCAAGTAGCAATTCCAATTTGAGAAAAGTTTGCCCATTTATTCCGTTGCCCTCTGTTCCCCTCACCATACTCATGCTCGTACCTCAACACTTTTGACTACTCTGTTCCCTCCTTCCTCTCCCTACACATTAAGCTTTTACCCATTCTTCAAGATGGCTAGAAACACAACCTCTACTTTGAAGGCTTCTGTGAACAGCCAGAGCAATCATTCCGTCTTCTGAACTTTTAGGGAATCCCATGTGTACTCTGTGCATATAACCCACACTGCTTTGTCATACAGGTTTTCAGTCATTCCTCTGAGGCAGGAGTCATTCCTTAGACACGTGTGCGTCCCACATAATGTCCAGCATAGTGCTTTTTATATATAATCAATACTTATTAAATATGAATGGGATGAATACAGGAGACCAAAAAAGAAAAGTACTCAGATGGTAATTTTGAATCTCCTTCTGGCCTGAAGATAGGAATGACATCATATTAATCATTATATCCACTCAGTGCTGGTGGCAGATGGAATGCCTCTCTAGTACATATAGAGTAGTCACCCAGAGATGGTTTGCCAGGCTTATGGAGTCAGTCAGTCAGTCAGTGAGATGGGACCTGGGAGGGCTGTGTCCCATTCTAGCACACTTGCTCTGTTCTTGCAGGGGTGGCCTTGAGTTGGGGCAATCCTTGGCTTGCTCTGCATTTCTGTTCAGGCCCCCATGGCAGCTGGCTAGGGAATTCCCTTTCCCCAAACTCTCCTTCCTCCCCCTGTAAACTTCCTGGCCTCTCTTTTCCATTCAGCTCAGGCCCTGCAGATGTTTTAAGTCATCGAGCACACGATGCTCTCTGGAGACTGGGGTAGAGGTGAATAACTGGGTGGCGGAATGTGAACTTGGACATGGGGCTTCTCTGATTTCTTCAGTGTTTTCCACGTGTCTTCTTTCCTCCATGATTTCTTTTGTTTGTTCGTTTGTTTCTAGCTGAGCCAAGATGTAGGAAAATATAATCTTGTTTTTTGTAGAGAAAACAAAAATAAAAGGAACCGATAGGCAAACACATCAATTCAATTCAACCCATTCTTGTTTCCATTTTTTTATATTATCGTGAGGTATTCATTCTGCTTACAAAATAGAAAAAAAATGATTTCTGGGTTTGGAAACAGTTTTTCATTTCTGGGTTCATGATCTTTTGTCTCTTTAAAGGGTGGGGAGAAAAAAGCTAGACACTCATGTTTTATAAATGTCACCTGGAGGTCCAGCATGTTTACAGTGTTCTCGTGGCTCTTCATGTAGTTAAGGAAAGAAGCCAGGAATATGGGAAGGTGTTCGAGACCTGAGGAAGACTCCCCCAAGCATAAGACAGCCCTGGGGAGAGGAAACACAGGGTGCGGTGGTTCAGAGTAGGGTTATAGCCAGTTTTCCACCTCACAACCCCCCAAATCTCAGAGTCATCCAGCCTGAAGAATGCCGTTGGCATGCCTCCCTAGTCTCTTCCATCATGAGTTGGGGAAACATCTGGGTCCAAAGAGTCATGGTTCTTTAGGAATCTTCATAGTTTGGGTATTGGGCCTCTGTAGTGTTTTACTAAAGGATCATTTTAAACCTCCCTAAGTCTTGGAACCCTCATCTCTAAAAGGTGGATAATAAAGGACCTATCCACAAATTACTTAATCTAGGAGTTGGCACATCATCTGCAGGCAATGCCCAGATGTTTCTGCTATAGTACAAGAACCAATGGCCTCCAGCAGTCTGCAGACCCTGCAGATAAGCCCATGGATGGGATACTTCTTGGAAGTGATGCTGCTAAAACACTTGCTTGCAAAATATTTGTGTTCCAGCTTATTGAATCTATCAAGCACCTCGCTTTAACTTAAACCATGGCATGATTTTTGGAATAATTCATCCTTTTTTTTTTACCCTCCATTTCAGGAGCACTCAAGAATGGACTCAAGAATGGAAAGAATGCCCCGATTATGTCTCTGCTGGAGAAAACAGCTGCTACTTTAATTCATCTTATACCTCCATTTGGATTCCCTACTGTATCAAGCTAACCAGCAGTGGTGGTACGGTGGATCAAAAGTGTTTCTCTGTTGAGGAAATAGGTAAATCACAGGTTTGTGTTTTATTTGACATGGCTTTAGATTAAATAAGCAGGGAAGCTTCAGTGTCCAAGTGTGTTCAAGTAGGAAGACTTCTTCATTGTCATCTAGGTGAATGGAGGTCTACTTCATAGGGCATGAGATCAGTCAGTGAACAAGAGGAGAAGGCAGGGGGAATAGAGGTTGGCTCTAACGTAAAACAACCTGGCAGTAAGTGTTGTCAAGAAAAGAATGGGAGCCTGGCAGAGTCTTTTCCTTGAGGAGGTCTTTCAAGCTGGGTTGGGTTCTTGAATACCATCACAAGAGACAACAAACTCAGTGGACTTCTAAAATTCCTTCTTTCCTAATTTTTCGATATGATTGTTATATTCAGATCTGAAATATGTTGACCTTTGATCCCTATCATCACTATAATAAAAGCCTAGATTTTCTTTCTCACAAAGCATAATAATTCTAGAATTTTATATTTACAAAACAACCCAAAATCAGTTTAAAGACATGTTTATAAGATCTCAGAACAAACATTGGAGATAATCAGAGCTCAATGAGCTAAATGAAAGATGTAGACCGATTATCCCTTGCCCATCGTGTGGATGCAAGGGAAAATAAAACAAAACAAACAACCATAATTGGAATATTTATGTTTATTCTATAAAAGTGTAAACAGCAAAATATAAAGAATCAAAGAAAGACTTTGAGCAGCTGATGTTGGTACTTCAGAATCTCTACCCACAAAAGTTCATCTGTTATAGAAATTGCTTGGAGTTTCTCTGAGATGCTCTGTCCTTACACACTTGTGTGTGGTTTCCCAGGCATCAGCAAACTGGAAAAGGCTAAGAGAATGTGGCTAGAAGCTGCAGGCAGAAACAATAAATCTGATAGTCTGTCAAGGAGAAGAACAAGCAGAAAAGAGAACCTAACTGCATAACTTGGAAACACTATTTAGTGTTTGTCCCAATGTCAATAGACTTAGCTGCTGAGTGGCTAAACCAGTAGTAGTAAAAATATCGGGTCAAGACCCATGTTCTAACCATGTCCCTGCCAATAGCCAGCCCCACTCATTTCCATGGCTGACTTTCCCAGAAGGCCTGCCATGCCCTGGATTGCTGTGCTGGGTGTGGTGGCTACAGAATGAGTAAGATATGTTCAAGTAGGGCAGTCAGGAATGTGAAGTAAATAATTGCAGTACTGCGTTTTAGGTGCTGGACTTGAGGTGTGTGGAGGGTGTAGTAAGCCAAGGTAGTGGGCAAAGGTACAATGATTGGGCCTGAGGGATAAAAGGCTGCCCAGAAATGGTGGCAGTTCTCTTGCTCCCTAAAGCATTGGTGCGAGTCCCAGGTATACCAGATGGACTGTGTCTTCCACCAACCACTAAGTTCCAGAAGTGACAAACAACACAGACCATCAAAGGACTTGGGAGCAGTTAGGCAGGCCTGACTGATCAGCCAGAGAAAGCATAAGGGGTCCTGTGTACCCCACAGAGGAATTTAGACTTTATTCTACTGCGAAGAGGTGCATTTGAAGATATTTAAGAAGGGAAATGACCTGAGGATAATAACAGCTAACTAACGCTTCCAAAGCCCTTACCTGTGGGTCAGTATAATAACCTTGTGAGAGAGGTTCTGTTATAATCCCCATTTCACAGATGATGACATTGAGGCTCAGAGCATTTAAAGGCTAACTCAAGGGGCACCTGGGTGGCTCAGTGGGTTAAGGGCTCTGCCTTCGGCTCAGGTCATGATCCCAGGGTCCTGGGATTGAGCCCCAGGACCTCTGCTCTCTGCTCTGGGGGATCCTGCTTCCTCCTCTCTCTCTGCCTGCCTCTCTGCCTACTTGTGATCTCTGTCTGTCAAATAAATAAATAAAATCTTCAAAATTTTTAAATAAAATAAAGGCTAACTCAAGGTCAGATAGCTAGTAGGCAGAACCGAGATTTGAACCCAGGCAAAATAGCTCCAGAGTCCACGCTCTTAATCTCAGAGTTATCCAGTGCCACCTGTTGTTACTAATGCCTCCGGGAAATCTGTCCTGCTAGAGCATAGAGGGTAGATTGTAGTAGCACAGACTAGAGATAGAGAGGTTAGAAGACTTGGTGATAATCTTTGTGATAATTAAGGCAAAAGGTGGTGATAGGCAGTTACAACCATAGCAGGGAAGGAGGGAGGGAGCTGAGAAAGAGAGACCACAAGGAAGGAGGTGAGCCTAATCGATCTGAAGAAGACAACCACAGGCCTCAGCTTCCCCACGCATTATGTGAGTGTTCTGCTACTACCTCACAGGGCTCATCTTTGGATTTAAAGTACTGTATTAGTAGACATTTGTTGTTCATTCTTGCATTCAGCAAATATTTATTGAGTCACTTCCTTGGGCCAGGTACATTTCTAGGGATCAGGAGCAGAAAATGTCTCCTCCCTTCCTGGGATTTTATCTCACTGTAGAGAGAGACAATGCTCTGAGGAAAAATGACATAGGGAGGGAGGAGAGGAGTGCAGGAGAGGTTGCAATTTTAATCGAGTCATCGGAACTGGCTTTGCTGAATAAAGAAAAAATTGAGAAAACAATGTGTCCATCTGAGGGACGGACCCTTCAGCAAGAGGGCACAGGAAGGGTAAAGCTCCTGTGATGGGAGTGTTCCCTTGCTCACTTGAGGAATGGCACGGTGAGGAGAGGAGCTGGTACAGAGTGAGCAAGGAGGGGAATGTAAGAGGCCACTTCTGAGGGATCTTTGAGGCAAAGTTATAGCACCCTTGAAGCCATTGGACAACTTTGGCTTTCACCTGGAGTGAGAGAGGAAGAAGGCTTTGGAGGATTGAAATGAGTGATGTGGTCTAACTCAAGGGTGAAAATAACCAGTGTGACCAGTATATCGAGGAGGGTATTGAGAATAGAGTGAAGGAGGACGGGGACCCCAGGAGAAGACCACTTCGGAGGCTAAAACAGCAATATGGGCAAAAAAGCATCATGGCAGGACTGGGTTGTGGAGGTGCAGGTGGCGAGCAGTGGTTGGACTCCAGGACCATCTTGAAAGTACAGCTGACAGAATGTGGGGGTGGTGAGGGAAATGATGCGTCAAGGAAGAGCTCACTCATTTCATCCTGGGCACCTGGAGGAATGGACCCACCATTAAGAGAGAAAGGGAAAGTGACAGAGGAGCGCATTCTGAGGAGGGGACCGGGGCTGCCTAGGGATGTACTCAGTCTCAGGTGCTTTTGCAACCTCTCAGGGGAGCTGTGGACAGCACTTGGCAGGATGTACAGAGGGAAGGGGGAGGCTGTTATTATGCTTCTAACAGTGGTACAAGCCTTCCCAAAAAGAACCATGTTCCAAATCTTCTATTTAAAATAGAAAGGAGAGTTTTTAAGATGAAACATGAGTAGTAAGTTGAGATTTTCCCATCAAAAACATTTATATGTTTTGGTCTCTTAAAGGGTTAAGCTTCAGTTATCAGAATTCCTCCATCCCCAACAAATCCGGAAGGGCAAAACGTTACTGTCCTGACAGTAGCCATATGCAGCTCAGCTATTCTGAAGATCCCTCTGATTTAATTTCCAAAAGTGATCATTATTAGTCATATTTGGATACCCTATTTTTTTTAAAGTTGTGTCCACTCTACAAGGGCCAATATCACGCTCCTTTACAGTAAGGTCTGTTTTCACTCTGGTTGAGTGCAAGAGCTTCCCCTTTGGGCCACCAGAGTTTAACAGCCAGTTAGAGCTCCTCACACTTACATCTGTAGGCGATTCTCTGGCCAACCCAAGGGATCCAGACTTGGCAACACTCTAGGTGACCTTCTACACACGGTAGAAAAGAAAGTAAATTTTACTCTGTATCTGCAAGTGACTTTTGAAAACATCGGTACTGAGACCCAAGGAGGAATAATTCATGGGGAACTATCTAGAATGTAAATTTGGGTATAGTTCCTAGCTTTGGGATCCATATTTCTCTTCATCAGGCTTTGGGAAGTTGTAGTCTCTGCAGTCCTGATAAGCAGAATACAGCTGATTTACTAGAGAATGTACCGTATGTCCGTAGAAACCAAGCAAAACACTATTTCAGATTGTTCACATGCGGTTAAGTAAGAGACAGAAAACCCTGACTCATCACCGTTTGAGAGAAGAGCATAGTGCCTTCTTAGGTCTGAAAAAATCATCACACGTAGCTAGGAAGACAACAAGCTAAGGAGCATTAGCTGAATGTTTGGAAGGATTGTTCTAGTAGCGATACAGAAATTAATAAGACAAGATCCTTGCCCTAGGTAATAAACAATTTGGAATAAAAAAGGTTTCTCTATCCCTCGTTCCAAAACAGCCCCATGTTTAAATACTCTAGGTCTTAACTCAGTTTCTAGTTACAATGAATTCCACTGCCAAAATCCCAAAGCATTAATCCTATCAAGGCTAAAAGAAATGTAAGGGGCGCCTGGGTGGCTCAGTGGGTTAAGCCTCTGCATTCGGCTCAGGTCATGATCTCAGGGTCCTGGGATTGAGCCCCGCATCGGGCTCTCCGCTCAGCAGGGAGCCTGCTTCCCCCTCTCTCTCTGCCTGCCTCTCTGCCTACTTGTGATCTCTGTCAAATAAATAAATAAAATCTTAAAAAAAAAAAAAAAAAGAAATGTAAGACATGGCAAATCCTCAAGAAAAATTTTGGATCAGATTTTAAACTTGAAAAGGAATTTTTTTGTGTAGGGGTTTTCTTCAAAGTTAAAAACAGATCATACTCAAGTCAAAAAAAAGTGATACTCTCTTATACAATGAGAGTATAATAAGACTATTGGAAGAATTAAGGGTATGAATAATAAAAATGCATAAAGTAATTGGTCTTTCAGAAGAAAGCCGTTCATCAAAGGAAGCTGTATCTGTCCGTGTCTCTGTGCCCTAACTCTCTGTTAAAATGCACAGTGCAACCGGATCCACCCATTGGCCTCAACTGGACTTTACTGAACGTCAGTTTAACGGGGATTCATGCAGATATCCAAGTGAGATGGGAACCACCACCCAATGCAGATGTTCGGAAGGGATGGATAGTCCTGGAGTATGAGCTGCAGTACAAAGAAATAAACGAGTCCCAGTGGAAAATGGTAAGATGTCCTTACATATGACACTTAAAAATGCTTCGTCTTTTCTCTTTCTTTGTATCAACACCTCTCTCATATACCATTAGACTGCCTTTTGACCTCAGGCCACATGTTCGTGCTATAGACTCCGTATTTTCTTATTTGAGGAAAACAGGCATAATCAGACATAATCAGTAAAATATTATCTTGGGATTCCGTCCAACAGCAGATGCTTACATGGAGCTTCTGTGGGAGCCTAAGGAAGGAAAGGAAAACTATCTCCCCACTCATCCTCAGTGCCCTGTTTACTCTAGCCACTTAAGCTATCCTTGGGGATGTCGCTAAACGTGGAAAGAGTCATGATCAAGATCAACCGTGAGTTATGGCTAGATATTCTCCCACAATTTTTGTTGCTATACTTGCAAGACCCCCATTAATGCTAGTTCATAAGTGACTCCAGGAGGGAAACAGAGGAAGGGAGTTTGTCCCCTAGAGGTTTCAGAAGAATGTTTTGTTACATATGTCAGGGAAGAATCGAGCTAAGAGGTTTTTATGTAGGTGAGGAGCATGGTGGTGGTTGATCTCTGAACACCTTACCTCCTTGACAAATATATGGGAACTAGGCACTTAGATAGGTTCCACATGGCACACAGCTAGGAGAAAAACAGGATTATCTTGCTGCTCCCAATATAACTAATTCTAAATCAGTCTAATCACAAAGTCGTAACCCTGGCCAAGCCAAGTGGTTTCTGGCCAGTCAGCAGGTTTTGCCCTGTGGCCTGGCAAATTCATTCCCAGAATTTTGAGACACCAACGATTGTCTGTTCAGGGATCTGCTGGAGAAGAAGCCAGTTTTGTCATTAAAGTTAAGTTTGGAGCAGCTGTGAACATACCAGGCTTTGAGGTGCTGTTTCTAGCATCATTTTAATTTAGAGATCTGTTCCATTAACTTAAAAAAGCCCAGTTGGTTGTTGAGTCAAATAAGACTTTTTTTTTAAAGTTTTATTTATTTATTTGATGGAGAAAGAGAGTGGACATAGGGAGAGAAGCAGGCAGAGGCAGAAGAGGGAGAAGAAGGCTCCCCACCGAGCAGAGAGCCCAATGCAGGGCTCGATCCCAGGACCCTGAGATCATGACCTGAGCCAAAGGCAGATGCCCAACTGACTGAGCCACCCGGGCACCACTCAAATAAGACTCTTAATCTCAGAAAACAAACTGAGGGCTGCTGGAGTGGAGGAGGGAGGGAGGGAAGGATGGCTGGGTGGTGGACCTTGGGGAGGGTATGTGCTCTGATGAGCACTGTGAAATGTGTAAGCCTGATGAATCACAGACCTATACCCCTGAAACAAATAATACATTCTAAACTGCAGTGACCATCACCATGCTCACCACCCCCGTGCGCTTATGGTAATGGGGAGAAAGCCAGCCCCACATAAGAATGGTCTTGATGAAGCTGCACATTTTATTAATGTTATTAAATCTCAACCTTTGATGACCTAGCTTTTTAGTATCCTGGGTGACGCATGTCAGGGACGCATAAGGCACTTCTGCAGGGTACTGAGCTGCCCACGGTTGTCTTAGCAAGACACTCAGATGGCTGAGTTGCCAGTGAACCGGCCGCTTTTTTGCACGGGACACCATTTTATCTCGAAAGAACAACTGATAAACTAATAGATGGTTATTCATAGTGAAGTTGGCAAAGACTTGGCAAACATATCTTAAAAAAGAATGAGGTGGGCTTATCAGTCCAAGAAAAACAGTCAACAGTAGTTGTTACCAATGAAACTTGAGCTTTCAAAGGAAAATTTGAGTTTGGGAAGACTTGCATCAGATCTCCAGCGGTGAGCTTGAGAGCTTTCCAAGTCCTTGAAGACTTTTCCTGACGAGATGGATGGTGATATGAGCTAGAGTGATTTTTTTATATTGTATAATAAAACATGTGAACATTTAGAAAATTTACATAACTCAAAGATCCAGTATTTTTCACTGTGTCATTTCCAAATGAGTAATACGTGATGTAACCAAAGTCATGAGTGGGGAAATGATCCATCCAAAGTGCTAGGTGGAAAGGTGGAATGACCGCTTTGATTGGGCTCAGCCGAAAGCAGTGTTCCCACCATAGATACAGATCTCAACCCAGTGAAAAAGACAAATAACTTTTCAGTATTAGTATGAAAACAGTCTTGACCTTGCAGACTCCCTGAAAGGGTCTCAGGGACCCTCAGGGGTTCCGCAAGTTCACACTCTGAGAACTGCTCTCTGGAGCACCTTGCCGTGCCTTACACATAGTAGGTATTTCAATATCTAGTTGCTGAATAAACATTTGACTGAAACTTGAGGTTATGAAGTCTTTTTTAAAAAATTAAAATAGAACGTATTAAATAATGGAGATTACTTGAAAATAAAATCTTAAGAAGAAGAAGAAGAAGAGCCACAATTATTTGAAAAGGCTATTAAAATATCCCATTTTGGGGTCCCTTTGGTGACCTAGCTTTTTAGTATCCTGGGTGACGCATGTCAGGGACGCATAAGGCACTTCTGCAGGGTACTGAGCTGCCTACGGTTGTCTTAGCAAGACACTCAGATGACTGAGTTGCCAGCGAACCGGCCGCTTTTTTGCACGGGACACCATTTTATCTCGAAAGAACAACGGGTGGTTCAGTCAGTTAAGCATCTGCCTTCAGCTCGGGTCATGATCCCAGTGTCCTGGGATGGAGCCCCGCGTTGCCTCCCTGCTCTGCTGGGGTTTGTTTCTCCCTCTCCCTCTGCCTGCTGCTACCCCTGCTAGTACTCGCTGTCTCTGTCAAATAAATGAACAAAACCTTTAAAATAAATAAATAATAAAATAAAATATCCCACTTTTTCTTCACTATGTATCTGTGTGAGACCAGATCCTATTCCATGCACGTCAACCAAAACAACACAACAGATGTAACGCAAATTTAATAGAGAAGCAGATGTGGCTCATGTTTCTCATAGCCTATTCCTCGCCTTGTCTTCTCGCAAGACTTTCAGGATCAAACGATTCCTAGCCAAGAAACAAAAGCAGAATCATCCCATACCCTGGTGGATTTGGACGAAAATTGGTAAAATCGGAGAAGAACCAAGCTGTGTCTCTAAGGGATCGCGCACATGAGACGGCTCCCGTATTTCTGCAGTGTTCCTATCCTGTTACTCTGTAAACATCTCTGCTACCTGAACAATAGGCATGTTTTATCAGGGAAATGATTTTTCTCTGTTACTATTCTTCTGCTGCAGTAGGTTGATTCAGTAATAAATACGTGCAACCCTTTGTTAGGAAACAAACAAACAAACACAGAAGCAGATGCAAAACTACAGCCATCTGGTATTAAGCCAGCCATTAAAGAGACCGGTCCAAGTGTAAAAATGCAAAACAGTGTCCATCTCCTCACAAAATTCTATGTGGTTTTGGAGAATACACTCATTTTTTTAAAAAATCAATTTAATATTATTTTAATTTTAAAATTTCTGTTTCAGTTTCTAAGTGGTCAATAGTGATAAACATAACCCAAATAAACCAAAATCTTTGCGCTTCTCAGTAATTTTGGGGGGTGTAAAGGAGTCCCGAAACGAAAAGTTTGATGGTCTAGGGAAGGCAAGGATGTGAATCCAAACGTCAGCATTGATAGATTTACTGATGATAGCTTCAACCCTGAAAATGCAGTGATCTAGCTGTGTTTCAGCTGATGCACGGGTACGAAGCTCGTACCTGAGCCGGGTCCCTGGGAGCATGGGACTTAGTCGTTGGCCATTCAGGTCTGCATCCCAGCTTGGCTTTGTCGCATTTTTTATCGCCTCCCTGCTGAAGCTCATTAGATCTTCCAAAGGGGTCAGTTAACTTCTACTTCACTTAACTTTTATAAGTGAAGTTACATCCTCTTGGCGTTTCTTACAACGGTCTCAGACAGAGTTGTCGTGAACACCGAGAGTTCATCTGTAAGCATTGACCTCTGCTGAAGAAATTTGCACTCTAATAGGTTTATGAGCACCAGTGCCATAAGCTTAAAGAACAAGTGAGGTTCATAAGTGGAGGGGGGAAAGTTACTGTTTGTTGCTTCTTTTTTTTTTTAAGATTTTATTTATTTATGTATTTGTCAGAGAGAGAGAGAGCACGCGTGCACAAGCAGGCAGAGGCAGAGAGAGAAGCAGGCTCCCCATTGAGCAAGGAGCCCAATGTGGGACTCAGTCCCAGGACCCTAGGATCATGACCTGAGCCAAAGGCAGTGGCTTAACCAACTGAGCCACCCAGGTGTCCCTACTGTCTGTTGCTTCTAATCGGAATCCAAGTTACCACTGAAAATGTAGAATTTTATATCACTGTGCCTTTTTTTAAAATTAAATGCATTTGGAATATAAAAGTGATACTAGTGATGATATAGTTGTTCCCAGCTATTTACCTGCTAAATCAAGTTAAGAATGTATTGGGGTTTTTGGGGGTTTTTTTGTTTGTTTTTTTGTTTTGTTTTGTTTTAAAGAGAGACAGATCACAAGTAGAGCAGCAGGCAGAGAGAGAAGGAGAAGCAGGCTCCCCGCCAAGCAGAGAGCCCGTATGCGGGGCTCGATCCCAGGACCCTGAGATCATGACCCGAGCGGAAGGCAGAGGCTTAACCCACTGAGCCACCCAGGCGCCCCTGTATGGTTTTTTGGAGAAATAATGGGTGACAAAGAACTGTCCACATTGTATGGGCCATCTCCCGAGCACCCACTCTATACCCGTATTGTGCTGGGCTTTCGAAATGCAAAGATAATGAAAGCACTGTTTGCTCCAGGGAATCTGCAGTGTAATATAGAAATTTGCACAGTGTAATACAAGTATAAGAAGTAATCTGAGATGTGACTGTCTCTCAGGACGGAGAAGGAAAAAGTGCCAAGAGCGACATCTTAGAATATCAACAGTCCTTGCGCTGAGTGTTGGCTGAAGGAGACCACCCTCAAAGGCAGGTGGCAGAGTTCAGTGTTGGCAGTAGGGGCCATGTAAATGAAATCAGGTTTAGTGTGGCTGCTTTGAAGGGTTGAGGGAAGATAAAGAGGGGGGCAGAGATCAAATCACTCTTTTTGGTTTTGTTATTAATGAAATCTGTAATGAAATAATATTGTTTATAATAACAGAAATTAGGGCTTCAAAACTGGACACCTGTGTTTTAAAAAATATTTAGGGAATGCTTTAAAATACCATCTTAGGCATGCAAATATAACGTGTTAAGAAGCTTCAGGGGCACTTGGGTGGTGTAGTTGGTTACACGGTGACTCTGGGTTTCGGCTAAGGTCATGATCTCAGGGTTGTGAGATCAAGCCCCACATCGGGCTCCATGCTCAGCCCAGAGTCTGCTTGGGTTTCTCTCTCCCTCTGCCCCGCCACGCCCCCCCCAACATGAGCTCGCTCATGCACACGCTCACACTCTCTCTCTAAAATCAATAAATAGGGATGCCTGGGTGGCTCACTGGTTAAGCCTCTGTCTTCAACTCAAGTCATGGTCTCAGGGTCCTGGGATCGAGCCCCACATCAGGTTCTCTAGGGACATTTCTTTGCAAATTTTGAATAGCAGTCCATTTGAGGTAACTTTAAGCCCTCTAGAATAAGCAGAATGGGTATGTAGTTGCTTCTAATAGAATAATATAGACAATTATGGTTTTTCTAAGACCCTTTCCAACTCTGTGATCTTCTGAATGACTACCCAGAATTTCCGAAGAACAAACTGTGCATGTGTGTGTATATGTGACTATGATTTGTTTTGGTGTGGCAATATGGTTTTTTTTTTCCTGTTCTTACGTCTTTGTACAAAATTATAATATTCCAAAGGGTAAGCACCGTAGCCATAATTTTCATTATAGTTCCACCATGCTCCATAATAATTCTATTATGCTTTGATTGTATATAGAATATCTGACAGCCTAGTACAAAGATACAGCTACATTTCTTTAAACAAGTCTGTTATATCTTTGGGTTTATACCAAAATAACTTTGAGGACTGTGATCCATATAACAGAATGTTTCTTTACAAAGTTATTTGCCTTGAGCTTCCTTTAAGTAGCAAACTCCTCCAATGAGTCTTATTTTTTTTCCTGATATAACCTTTAATTCTGAATTTGTTGGCGCTTCAAGAAAAGAGCTTTGCCCATAATTCGTTGTGCCCTGAACTTACGACACCAACTTGCATTTGGCCAATTAGGAACATGGCCAAATTGCATTCTTCTTGGGTCTCTTCAGTTAATAAATGGCACTTAACTGATGCTTTCTTTCATATAATCTTTAACAAGAACTCCTAAGTTGCATTGATTATGCCCTAAGAGATGAGAGACCGATGATTAATTCAGGTGAGCACCTCTGAGAAGATTTGTCAGCTTCCTGTCCTGCTCTAGCCAGATTTTCTGGAAAACCTTGGGAAATGACTGGAATTCCCCACCAATCTGAGACTGCAGATGAGTTTTCACAACATTAACTGGGAAAAACAAGATTCCCAATGTGGTGCCCAGCAGACCTCCACAGACAAAATCATTGTCCAAATGAGTGCTCTGAGTCATGGCAGTAGGCAGATGCTCCTTAATGGGACCTTGAAAGCCAAAGAAAAGGACACTGCTGAATCTATTAGGGAAAAGAACAGGTACCAAGCCTCGATAATACTCTCTCATTCCATGGCATCTGAGTGCCTTAAAAGCCTGGTACGTGTTTATAAATTTGTCATGATGCTTGCAGTCTTGAAGCAATGTCTGACTTCTTTTCAGTGGAGTAAAAATTGCTTCTGTTGTCCCTGAAAGGACTGCAGCCACACTAGGGGTTGTTGACTCAGGGGTACAGATGTGCTTTCGGAGAAAGCAAGATAAGTCCTCCGTCAGACCAACCTAAGTGCCAATGTGGTGGTCTTCTGCATCAGTGGGGGAAGGATTTGTCGGTACAAGTTTCAAAAGCCCTCCCTCCACAACCGAAGCACCGGGTCCCGGGCTTTGATTCCATACAGCTGCTGCTGAAAGAGCAACTTCCACATGGGAAATGTGATTGTGGCATTGTTGAAAGCCACACAGTGGCCGCACAAGTAATGTGTCATTTCACCAACATTTGCAATAGGAGGTGACAGATCTTGTTTTGAAGGTATTAGGATGGGTGGCCTTCTTTTCAGGAGCTTCTGAATCCACCATGTGGCTCAAGAGCTTTCTACTTCATGAAGGATATTTCTGACATGTAACACCATCTGGGACTGGTGTTTGGAGGGATGGTAGTTTTTTGATAACTCACTCACCGTCTTCCATTGTTACTGGTCTATTAGGTTCTTCTGTGGTCAGTTTTGATACTGGATTTGCTGAAATATCCAGGCTCTATGACAGTCTTGACACAGACAGAAAAATAGAATAGCCAACGGCAGCCATCTTTCTGCTCGATCATGCCATTGCGGCAGCTGCGCAGGTGCTGACCGTGACCAACACCCAACAACCACCCCCCCACCAAAAGTGCATTTTAAAATATCTACTTTACAGAATTCATTTTGAATATAAATGTAGAAACTGCTTAGTAGAGTTTATTGTGTCAAGTTGTTGTCTCACTAACCCATCAGTTTTATATTTTGTCTTGAAAGATGGACCCTGTACTGTCAACATCAGTTCCCGTTTACTCGTTGAGGTTGGATAAAGAATATGAAGTGCGTGTGAGATCCAGACAACGAAATTCTGAAAAGTACGGCGAGTTCAGTGAGGCGCTCTATGTAGCACTTCCTCAGATGAGTCCATTTGCATGTGAAGAAGGTAAACGATTTAAAATGGCAGCTGACATGGCTTTTGTCTATTAATAGAGTAATACATTGCCTACGTTTCAGGGTGTTCAAATATCAGGGTGAGAGACCTCAAGTTCACTCTTTTTAACAGATACTGTTCGTTACAAAAATGGGAGGAGAACTTAGTCTGTGATGATTCGATTCAGGGGATGTCCGGGGGTAGGTGTAAGTTAGAGAGGGGAAGATGCACTAAGACGTCAATGGGGTGATCTCTGGATGTCAGAATTTCAGATAAGTCTTTTCTTCATACTTTTCTATATTTCTAAAGATTTCTATAATGAATTTGTTTTGCATTGATAGTCTAAAAAATTGCTTTTCAAATGCATAGTGTAGAAATAGTGGATCCATATGAATGGGTAGCTATGTGACATCGAAGGCAAAGCCTAATACCATGTCAGTGTAGCTAGTCAATGGCAGCCGCTCTGGTTTTAGAAAGTTTAGGTATGGCTTTTACCTGGAGACAGGCTTATTAAGTCGCATGCTAGTTATGTGCCAGAATGACATGGAACATTTGAAGATCCAGGGCACCTGGGTGGCTTAGTGGATTAAGCCTCTGCCTTCGGCTCAGGTCATGATCTCAGGGTCCTGGGATCGAGCCCCGCATTGGGCTCTCTGCTTGGCGGGAGGCCTGCTTCCTCCTCTCTCTCTGCCTGCTTGTGATCTCTGTCTGTCAAATAAATAAATAAAATCTTTTAAAAAAAAAAAGAAGAAGAAGAAGAAGAACCTATATAAGAAAAATACAAAGATAATTCAAGTTCAAAGAAATGAGGATCTATGAATTCAGAATAAAAGAATTAGAACTTTAGACACAGAAAGAAGTCTGCTTAACCATGAACGGTAGGTGTATAAAGTGATCCCTCCCACATGGGAATTAGCCGTAGCGCCTCTGCAGTGAAGCTCTGTCTGAATTGCTGAGGCCTGCTGACGAAATCACAAGCTGTAGAGAAACTGAACTGCTATTTCTGTATTGATGCTACAGGTAGAACTCATGATACTAGAGAGCACTTAAATGAAAATGCCTGTAGCACTGGTTTTTCTAAGTTTTAGTTAACAGTCTTGATCTTTTAAACCGTATTTAATATAATGAAATTCTGATTTAAAAAGTACACCTGCGGGACACCCAGGTGGCTCAGTCAGTTAAGCATATGCCTTCGGCTCAGGTGTGATCCCGGGATCCTGGGATCGAGCCCATGTCGGGCTCCCTGCTCAGTGAGGAGTCTGCTTCTCCCTCTCCTCTGCCCCTCCCCTGCTTGTGCTCTCTCGCTCTCTCTCAAATAAATAAATAAAATCTTTTAAAAAATAATAATAAAATTTAAAAAGTAAAAAGTACATTTGCCACACACCCTTGAAGTTTATTGTGATGCCATTTAGTTCAATTAAGCATAGATCTCTTAACTGATTCTTCCTTCCACGTTGAAAGAAAAGGGAAGTTCTAGCTTGTTATGTTCCCGAATATGTTACTGATATAAAAACTTACAGATATCACAAGATACTAAATGGCATTCTCTCCTCCACTAATTCTTTATAATAACCATCATATCTCCCTTAGGGATTTTAATAACTGAATAAGAAAATAAAAATAACAAAGGAATATTACAACATAAAATCCTACTTTTAATAAAGCAACATTAAAGTCAATTCGACCTGTCTTTTCGTGTAAAGCAGATAACCCTGAGGTGGAGTGAAGGGAGCCTTCCTACACTGTTGTTGGGAAGGTAAATTGGAGCAGCCACTTGGGAACACAGTATGGAGTCTTAAGAAGAGAGTATTAAAATATAGAGTGTTAAAAATTGAAATATCGGGGTGCCTGGGTGGCTCAGTGCCTTTGACTCAGGTTGTGATCCCAGGGTCCTGGGGTCGAGCCCCGCATCAGGCTCTCTGCTCAGCAGGGAGCCTGCTTCCACCTCTCTCTCTCTCTGCCTGCCTCTCTGCCTACTTGTGATCTCTCTCTCTCTGTGTCAAATAAATAAATAAAATCTTTTTTTAAAAAAATTGAAATACCATATAATCCAGTAACTCCACTACTGGGTATTTACCCAATGAAAACACCAGTTTTATTCATTCACCTACTAGTGGACATTTAGGCTGCTTCTGTTATCTTAGCTATTATAAATAATGCTGCAGTGAGCATGAGAGATAGATAGGTAGATCGATCGATCATGTCTTCATCCGTTATGGTATATTAGCCGTAATGAGGATGAAAGCTCACTATTCACAACAACACAGATGAAGCTAGAGGGTATGATGCTAAGTGAAATAAGTAGGACAGAGAAAGACACATACCCTGTGATTTCATTTGTATGTGTAATCTAAAAAAACAAAATAAAATGAACAACAAAGCAAAGCAGAAACAGACTCATAAATACAGAATACAAACTCGTGGTCGCCAGAGGAGAGGACATGTGGGAGGTTAGGTGAAACAGATGAAGGGGATTAAGAGGTGCAGACTTCCAGTTACAAAATGAATAAGTCACAGGGATGAAAAGTGCAACGTAGGGAACGTAGGCAGCAATATTGCAATAGCGTTGTACGGTGACAGGTGGTAACTACAGTTATCATGGTTAAGCGCTGAATAATGTATAAAATTGTTGAATCACCTGTTGTACACTTGAAACTAATAGAACATTGTATATCAACTTTATTTCAGTTAAAAAGTGGAGAACACTGGGAACCTACTGCAGGTAGCTGGTAGCCACTTGGTCTTAAGAAATGAAATTGAAGTTTTATGAACAAATTCCCCCAATTCTGCTACCAAGTAGAAGATGAGAGCCCCTGTAGTGATCTTCCTCTATCAAAGGATATTTTGTAATCTGCAAAATATGTCTGCATGTCTAAGAAGTTTCGGTCTTGATTCAAAAATAGAAGCTTTGCCCCCATCTTTTTGATGGATTCTTAGTCTGGAGGGTAAAAAAATATTACCATACGTAAGATAGATGATTGATAGATAGATAATAGATAATAGATAGATAGATAGATAGATAGATGGATGAATGGATAGATAGAAGGGAAGGAAGGGAGGGAGGGAGGAAGAGAGGAAGGGAGGGAGGAAAGAAGACCAGAGGGGAGGGAAGTGGAAAGGAGGGAAGCAGAGGGGAGGGGAAAGGAGGGAAGGGGAGGGAGGGAAGAAGGAAGGAAGGAATAGCAGAGGGGAGGGGATGGGAAAGGAGGGAAGGGGAGGAGAGAGAGGAGGGAAGGGGAAAGGGGGTAGGAGAGAGAGGAGGAGGGAAGGGAAATGGAGGGGGGGAGGAAGCAGGGAAGGAAAGAAGGATAAACCAAAGAAAGGATAAACAGCATGTCTTTCTAGATCTGAAGCCACTAACGATACACCCTGAACACATAAGGTGCTTAAAACAGTTGTTGTGGACTTTTTATATAAACATGAATTGTGCTTAAACTGTTTGCTTCTTCTTCATTTTGATTTTTTTTAATATGTGAAAAGATTTAAAGAAGTGAAGAAAGATACCCTTGAAACAGCAGATACTCCTACATCATTACATTCTGTTTTAGTGGTTGTCAAGAGAAATCACTGACTTTACTAGATGATTATAAATTAAGAAATATTTTTATGTGAAAAAGAAAAGTAAAATGTAAACATTGACTATTCCTAATTCTATGAGTGAGATAATATTCTTTTGTGTTTCAGATTTCCAGTTTCCATGGTTCTTAATTATTATCTTTGGAATATTTGGGCTAACGATGATATTATTTTTATTCATATTTTCTAAACAGCAAAGGTAGGTGTGAAAAAGTCTATTTAGATGTTTTTGCCAGTGTTTGGATTTCCCAATGTGTTTCCATTTGGTTATTTGATATTTCTTTTTAAAATCATGGGTGAAAATTTTAATTAATGCAGTAAAATATTATCACTATTTACACATTGCCACTTTGTTGTGTTCATCATCAAGAATCGCTGGGGGGGCGCCTGGGTGGCTCAGTGGGTTAAAGCCTCTGCTTTCGGCTCGGGTCATGATCCCAGGATCCTGGGATCGAGTCCCGCATCGGGCTCTCTGCTCGGCAGGGAGCCTGCTTCCTCCTCTCTCTCTCTGCCTGCCTCTCTGCCTACTTGTGATCTCTGTCTGACAAATAAAATAAATAAAATCTTTAAAAAAAAAAAAAAAAAGAATCACTGGGTGTCTGTTCTACCTGGGAAAATGCATAGGACAAGGAGGCTGAGGTTAGTGGCCACACATCTTGTGATCGGCTCCTCCTTAACAGGACTGTCATCTCAGAGCTGCCCCTTGATCTGTTCCAAGTCCTGAACGAGCTGGCCCATTCATTCTAGGACAACGGAGTGACACTGAACCTTCAGCTAAGTTTAACACAGTCCTATTGGACAAGCAAATGTTAGTGGCAAACGAAAGCCACCTAAATAATTCAATCAAATAAAACCATTTTAGACTTCATATAATGGAGTTTTCGAATAAACCCAGGTTTTATTGAAATTATTAAATTTAATTAAATTATTACAAATTACCCATATTTGTAAACACAGCTAAAATGCTTTCTAAATTTGAAGAGATTGTGTTCTGTATTCTCTTGGTATCCCGACTCAGGTCCCAGTCATTATTCTGATACTGCTGTTTGATCTTGTTTGAGTCTCTTAACCTCTCTGGGCTGCATGTTCTCATGGGTAATAAAAGCATGTTGGACTGTAGGACCCTTAAATTTCCCTTGAGCTGTAGAACTATCACTGTTTTTCTTCCTGAAAGAAATTCCACACAGACTACAGGAAATTATAATACAAAATACAGGAAAAATATCGGAGAAGTTATTAGTACCAATTGCAAATTTTCTTACATTTAGAGTATTTTTTAAGTCCCATGGGTTCATCCTGCCCCTTCTTCTAGAATGAGGATGACTAACACTCCCAGTTTGCCTGGAACTTTTCCTGGTTTGAACACTGAAAGTTCTGTGCCTTGGAAAACCTCCCAGTTGCAGACTAACCAAGATGGTGGGTCACCATACCTAGAACTGAAGACACTTTCTCCAGCTGAAGCGTAGAGGCATCTGCAAATCAAAACAGTATCTATGTGAATACATTGCAAAAGCTTTTTAATTGGAGTTGCATCTCCAGTTCTATAATGTACACCAGTGGGAAAGCAAAATTCATTCTGCAGAATTCCATTTTGCATCTAGCTTTTTAGCAACATTTCTTTTATAAGCACAAGTATTATAAAGCAAGACAAATACAGTTTTCAGTTGTCTGGGGAAAAAATAATAAATACATTTATAGAATCTTAAGTAATTTATATATTTATGTAATGCCAACCACAAAGGAGGCAGATTATTCTGTTGATTAATTTGCATGTATTGATACGTACAGTTGATGGGCTAATTTACATGTAACTACAGTAGATATGCCCACTATATATATATGAAGTAATTTACTCCTAACATTAGCTGTCAATTTTGAGTCATTGTGAAGGCCATGTAAATTTGTTATGTTAATTATATTAGCCAACAAGATTTCAAAGAAAAAATAATTTGCTCAACAAAGAGAATTTTGAAAATATATTAACCTTTGTACAAAAGTGTGTTCCCTAAGAATAATGAAGTTCTAAACTTTGACGCTTAGAATTACCAAATTGTAAAATTGCTCTGAAATCTTTACTGTACTCTCAAATTTCCTATACTAAATTTTCTATAGAAAAGAATTAGTTTTGTTCTTTCATTCGCCCCTAAAAACCCTTGTTGTGGTCTCCATTTCTGTGTTCCAATGAAAGTAGGAAATGGGAGAAGACAGTTGTCAGCAGGTGCGGAAAGAACATGAAGTTCTGATCATTAAAATGATACCCCAAAGAACGAGGTACTTAATGTCAGCCTTCCCTGGAATGTTAGGGAGCGAAAGGGCTTCAGGTCCTGCCTGTTATTGGAAGTGTTGAGTCCATGCCACTTTTCCCTTTCCAGATCATTAACAAGATTTATAATGTAATTTGGATTTGAATAAAAATGTTAGAAGAGTCACAGAGTTTCATGCCAGTTTATCCGTACTGTGTTGTCAGTTGTTCCCACCGTACGGTTCACCCAGCCTTTGAGCTGTTACTAATCAGGAGAGAAAGAACTGGATTGGCCTTAAACAGAAGCGCCACACTGGTCACCCAAAAGCCGGACTCAGCCTGCAGATCCTCATGTGTCGTTGCTTTGTGTTACGTGGATTTGCTACAAAATGTTCACATGCTAGGGAATTTACACACAAAAATCCAGATTTCCAGGGGGTCTTTATCAACTGAAAGATCTGGTGAAACTCGGTTGATATTCCTGAATGGCAACCTATGCTGAAGCAGAAGACCAGCCATTCCCTTCCGGAAGGGCCTGTGTTCTCCATCACCGTTCCCACTGCCCTCTGACCTCACCCCAGGCCTCCTTCATTCATTTGCATGACCTGCTTGGGCCCTAAAGGCCACAGTGTCCGTCACCTTGGCATGAAGCCAGCCATCACGCCCGGATAGCTAGCATGTGCACCATCCTGGGCAAAAAATGAAAGGCACACGTAACAAAGTCAAGCATCATGTTCAGGAATCTTTGCTTCCTGTCATTAAAATTGTGTTGCATTTTTCTGTGTTTTTGACATTTAAAGTATTCATTGAGAGACACACGGCAGGATAACACAGCAGGATGACAGAAGGCAAAGGGCCTAGGTTTTGGAGTTAGGTACTTTGGATTTGGGCCTCAGCTGTGCCAAGAAATAGCATATGATTTAAATACATTTCTTAAATCTCTAAATCTTTCCATAGATAATGTTAACTGCCTCCCTAGTAGTTATAAGAATTAAATAAAATGTTTAGTGTGTGGTTGACAAACTTGTGTTATAAAGGGCCAGAGAGTACATTTTTAGGCTTCTGGGGCCATGCAGTCTCAGTTACAACTCCTCAGCTCTGCCATCATGGCATGAGAGCAGTCATAACAATGTGTAGACAATGTGAATGTGACTGTGTTCCAATAAAACTTTATTTACAAATACAGAGAGCAGACCTGATTTGGCCTTCAGGCCATTCTTTGCCAGTCCACAGGTTAGTGCCAAATATATCTTATGCAGTCTGGTTTATCAGAGGCATTCAAAAAAATAGTAGCAGTTATTATTAATAATTTGTATTTTTCCTGTATCTTCTGTTCATTGGTACAAATTTGATTTAACACTTGCCCTGCTAAGTAAACCTAGTAGAAGCCATTTACAGCAACATAAAAAACAGAATTTGGCTTTTTCCTTGGTTAGGTAAAAAGGCAGATGGAAATATTCAGAGCGTGGGTTCCCTATTGAATAGACTTGACTGTCCATTCACATTTAGTGGAATATCATCAGCTAATGTCCCAAAAGCAGTTTATCATCCCTGCCCAATGGTGGCATCTCTGACTTACAGGGTTTTTTTAAAATAATAAATGAGTTGACTAGAATTGCTAATCTCCAAGCTTTTTTTCCCAGAGCTGCAATGTTAATTTTAAGACATAAATTCTAGTTAACGCTATTAACGAACTACATAAATGAGGTGTTCAGATTTATTCAGGAAATGTTTATTGAGCACCTTCTATGTGCCAGGAATTGTGCTAGGATACAGTAAAGTGCAAGGCAGGCAGAATAGACATTGAAATGAATTATGGTCAAAAAATAATTTGAAGGGGTTCCTGGGTGGCTCAGTCAATTAAGCGTCTGCCTTGGGCTTAGGTCATGATCCCAGGGTTCTGGGATGGAGCCCCAAATCAGACTCTGTGCAGCAGGGAATCTATTTCCCCCCCCTGCCTGATGCTCCCCGGCTTGTGCTTGTTTGCTCACTGTCAAATAAAGAAATAAAATCTTTAAAAATAATAATTTAACTATTTAGAACAGAACATTTAAGTGCATCATAGAATTGGATATATAGATCCATATTGATCAGTTAGAGATAGTTCAAATTTAGTCTTTCCCAACTGTAATGAACCCTGCAATGACACCTGGTTTCTGAGATCATTTTAAATAATTTTATAATTAATGTGAGCCACGCAGTGCAAACTTAGCTCAGTCCATCCTTTTTTGAGGGTGCAAATAATTTTGATTCCATGTGTATTGGCTCTTCTTTCTTTTTCTTTTCTTTCTACCTCTTCTCTGCAAATTACTGATGAGATGTACATTAAAATTACCATCCTTATAGATGAAATGGAAATTGGCCTTCAATGGAATCGAATTTCTCATTCACAAATACTAATGGTGGCTCTCAATAAAGACAAAAGGGGGAAAAATATTTTAGGAAACCATGTTTTATTTAAATTGGCTTCATGGGAGGGCTTTTCTGTTGATTTTTGTTCTTTTTTTTCTTCTATAGTTTTTCCTCATCATTTACTACTCAATATTTTCTTTCTCATATTCTGCATGTGTGGAGCACCAGAAAATTTGGAATAAGTAATACTGCCACCAACATTTTATTCCTATCTTTTGATGTAAGAGAATGTATAATTCTATAGATATGTCAAACCAAAATTTCATTTGTTTTCAAGGATTAAGATGCTGATTCTTCCCCCTGTTCCAGTTCCAAAGATTAAAGGAATTGATCCAGATCTCCTCAAGGTACTTAGTAGATTATCTAAGTGACAAAGACCATTGTCTTTTGTTGAGAGCTTTTGCAAGCTCTATGTATCATGTTTCATTTTTAACCCCTCTGGAGAAAAATGTTCCCAAATAACAGATCTTAAAATCATAAGAAAGTCTTACATATTTAAAAGTTCTACACGAATGTGTTTCTCATTATATGGTTTTGTTACTATTGTTCTTATCATAACCATAATTTCAGTCTGAGTGTTATTTGTCAAATCCTTTCATCATTGAGAGTTTCTTTTCATAGATCTCATTTTCTTTCTGTTTCCTAGGAAGGAAAATTAGAAGAGGTGAACACAATCTTAGCCATTCATGACAACTATAAACCTGAATTCTACAACGATGACTCTTGGGTTGAATTCATTGAGCTGGATATTGATGACCCAGAAGAAAAGACTGAAGGATCAGACACAGTCAGACTTCTCAACAATGACCATGAGAAGTCACTAAACATCCTTGGGGCAAAGGATGATGATTCTGGACGTACCAGCTGTTATGAACCTGACCTTCTGGAGACTGACTTCAATGCCAGTGACGTATGTGACAGTACTTCAGAGGTTGCTCAGCCACAGAGGTTAAAAGGGGAAGATCTCTTGTGCCTTGACCAGAATAGTCAAAATAACTCACCCTCTGCTGATACTGCCCCTACCACTCAGCAGCCCAGTGTTATCCTGGCAAAGGAAGACAAACCAAGACCACGTCTTATCAGTGGAACTGAGTCAACTCATCAAGCTGCCCATCCTCAGCTGAGCAATCCGAGTTCACTGGCGAACATCGACTTTTATGCCCAGGTAAGCGACATTACTCCAGCCGGGAGTGTGGTCCTTTCCCCAGGCCAAAAGAATAAGGCAGGGATGTCCCCATGTGACAGTCCTCCGGAAGTGGTCTCACTCTGCCAAGCGAACTTCATCATGGACAGTGCCTACTTCAGCGAGGCAGATGCCAAAAAGTGCATCACTGTGGCCCCTCACGTCGAGGCTGAATCACGTGCAGACCCCAGCTTTAACCAGGAAGACATTTACATCACCACAGAAAGCCTTACCACTACCGCTGGCCAGTCTGGGACAGCAGAGCAGGCTCCGAGCTCGGAGAGGCCGGTCCCGGACTACACCTCCATTCACATCGTGCAGTCTCCTCGGGGCCTCGTGCTCAATGCCACGGCCTTGCCCTTGCCTGACAAGGAGTTTCTCTCATCATGCGGCTACGTGAGCACAGACCAACTGAACAAAATCATGCCGTAGCCTTTCTCGGGTTTCCCACAAGGTCCGTATTTAATGGTTAAGAGTTGGCTAGGGCTTGAGTGCTTAAACCAAAACAATGTTTAAACCTTTTCGGGGGGGATAGGGGAGTGGATTCTAAATGCCTTTTCCTGAAATGTTGAAACATGATATTAAAAAAGAGAAGAAGGCCTAATGAAATCGATATTCCTATTGTGAATTGTAAATATTTTTAAAGAACTGTCTCAAAGACTGTTTAGTGGCGGTGATTGTCTTGTTAATGTGGGTGTTAATTTTGTGATACTAAGCATAGAATGGCTGTTTTTAATGTATAGTGAATCATGCTTTTTGAAAAAGCGAAAAATCAGGTGGCTTTTGCAGTTCAGGAAAATGGAATGCAAATCAGAGCACAGGCTAATTTTTTTTAAGTAATTGGGAACTAAAATTATAGGTAAGAAGGCAAAAAAAATAGTTTGGATATGTGAAACATTTATTTTGACATAAAATTTATAAAGGTATTTTTAATAATTTACACTTCAAGCATGGCTATTTTCTATCACACGATACACTGTGTACTGTAGTTCATGCCGACCCCTGGAAAGAATGTAGCGACTACAGTCGAAAGCTAGTTTACTCCTTTGGTAAGTACACCTAAAGAAAAACAAATAAGCAAGTTAGTTTTTTACCAGGCCCTTTTTATACCTCCCCAAGCCCCTTAAACAGTTCTGAAATGATTGTAGTTACCTGCATTACTGGAACAGGCTCATCTTATTTAAATTTTTTTAAAACTATTTGTTAGTAGAGAAAACTTAAAGACAGAGGCACCAGTCAAACCAAAACAGGCAGACAAAAAAACTCTTTCTTGCCCAAATTTTGGTTCCTGTCAGAAAGCTCCATACTAGGAGAAGTGGGAAGGTAAGCCAGGCCCTCGGGCCAGGCTGCTTGGGCGCTCCGGCTGCACGTGGAGGGAGTTTTGGGGGCAGACAGATCGTGAAGGGTAGGCCCCGGAACCTCTATTGTAGCATCTCTTCAGACAGGACTTGATTTTGTTACATGGTTACAGAAGAAGGGAATAAAGTACAAGAAGCATTTTGTAAGTTGAAGCAGGTGGATGCGAAGTTAAACCAGATCATGGAATAAAAATTTTGAGAAAGAAGTTTTTGTTTCACAGCCAATAGCCAGACATAGACCCGCTCTTCCTGGTAACAAGAAACAGACGGAATGAGATTTTAAATCCCCACTGAGAAGTCAGAAATTTCTTAAACCCATAGCGGAAACGTTCTTCCTCACCAAACCCTTTCTTGGGTTTATTTGAAGTAGCAAACAAAGAAGTTTCCTCATTTTTTATTTCCCCTCTGAGTGGCTTGGCCTCAAAGCGGGTAGTCAGAAGGAAAAGAAGGGGCCTGAAGTAAGGTATAAATTATTGTTCAGTCCCTTAGTAATCTCAGCACCATTCGTAGGAGCTTCGGGATCGCTCCCCAAAAGGTTTGTCAAAGGAGAAGAATCTCATCTCACTGAAGAATGCTTCTCACTTTAAGTTTGGTTTTGTTTTCTTTTTTTTTTTTTTTACATTTAATGAAACTTTAAAGTTAGCTGTAACTTAAATAGTATTTGCCATTTAGCTCAGACCTTTTTAGGAAACAGGCTTAATGGTTGGTAATTTTAAATTCCCTCTTTCTTGCAGGAAGGACAGTGAAAAGCTAGAACTGGGTGTTCCAAGTTCAACATGTTACTTTGTAATAGGTGTTTAATAGGTTTTCTGCTACCTTGCTGCTATGGTTTTCTCTAAGAGCTACGTAATTTAGTTTCATATACAATTTCATCGGTGTAGAACCTAATTCAACTTAAAACTGTGTGCTTGGGAAAACTATCTTACTATTTCACAATAGGCTGACAACAATTTCTATAGCCAAAAATAGCTAAATACCTCAATCAGTCTCAGAATGTCATTTTGGTACTTTGCTGGCCACACAAGCCATTATTCACTAGTATGACTAGTTGTGTCCTGCAGTTTATATTTAACTTTCCTTATGTCTGTGGATTTTTTTTCCTTCAAAGTTTAATAAATTTATTTTCTTGGATTCGTCGTGGCATGCTCCTATCGTCAAACACCCACATGAAAAGCTCCTTCAACCAGACTGCAGACTCCTCGGTTCTTCTCACTGAAAGGGGTGCTTAGCACGATTGGCTTGAACACACTGGCAGTGGATGTGGGGATTTTTACTATGTGCTGGCAGCTCCCTACCTCTCTTTTTTGAGGAAACAGGAGCCCAGCTCAAAAATATGATTCTGGCTTGCCTGGACTGTGCCTTCTTCCCAGGCTGCAACACCCCACCAGCAGAGGCTCTTAGAACCATGCTTTGGGTGCGTCATAGCTTGCGTGACATGGGGAGTGGGGGCCATGAGGAGGAAAACATCTTAAGCACTTTTTTTTTTTTTAAGATTTTATTTATTTATTTGACAGAGAGAGAGAAAATCACATGTAGGCAGAGAGAGGGGGAAAGTAGGCTCCCTGCTGAGCAGAGAGCCCAATGCGTGGCTCGATCCCAGAACCCTGAGATCATGACCCAAGCCAAAGGTAGAGGCTTAACCCACTGAGCCACCCAGGCGCCCCTTGAGCACTGTCTTTAAGCGACATTTCTAGCTGGAGCCTGTTGCCTGGGAGGAGGGAAAGCAGCTCCTCCTATACCAGCACACATGAGCACAAGTCGGTCTGTCAGACTAGATGCTTGTCATCGTGGGGAGCACATAAGTCAGGCCTGTGTGGGGAGGCAAGGCAGATGGGTTGTGTAGGAGCCTGAGGGAGCGGGAAAGCCATGAAGCAGATTCCTCCTCAGAAGACAGGCTCCAGGTGAGTAACCTAATAAATTGCAGTCTCTGTGCAGGCACTGGGTCCTGAAGAGTGAGTCTGGAACGGCATCGAGAAGCCCACAGAACAATTATTTATTACTGCGGCAAGTTGAGTGCAGACTGCCTCAACTCTTCATTTACACTAGAGGGTTTACATTCAATACGGAAATAAAAGTTCTCTACCGGTCGTGTCTGCCCTTTGAACAACTATTACCTCAAAGAACCAGGGGTGAAGCCTGAGGATTTCCTACTTCCTTATTTGGAGATATGGTTTAGAACATCATCTCCTATCACGAAGGTATTGGAACACGCACTGCCTTAACATTTACAAGCAAAAGCTCACCACTTGAAGCACCCAACATTGATTTCTTACATACGCTCTACAGAAGTCAGCCTTGTGATGTTACAGGCTTATCATTCACATGACGTGCTTTGAGGTGTCAGGAGGGAAGTTGGCGGAAGTCCTGTTTACTTCCCTTGGATTGAAAGAGTTCAGCCCTTTCTGTGACAGAAGGTTAGTGACATGTTGAAGATGACTACACATGTGTTTCTGTGTGTAAACTTCTAAGTGGTTCTACTAAGACATCCTAACACTGAAGTCTATTCACATGTTATGGAATTTACATATTTACATAGTTGTACGCCAAAATACTAAAAGTTTATGTTCTCTGTGTAGGCTAAGAAATAGGGGGGAAATTGCACATTACTTAAATCTAAATGCTTTAGCTTAGAATCCAAGATTCTACATAATTTGCTCAGTCTTCTTTGCTAGCTTAATATGGAAAGGCTGTGTATAAAGGGTACAGCTTCTGAGTAAGAATTTGACCTTTGGTTTCAGCTCTGTCCTTCTGGAAATCTAGTAACAGTATTATGCCAACTATATTAACGTAGGCAATTACCATCTGCCTATGCCTCTTTCTGCACCCGAGAAGTTTCCAATTAACCAAACCTGCCTGTCAGAATTTTCCTCATCCTTCATGGCCCGGCTCAGGTGCCGCCTTCATGCAACCCCCAGTTCTTTTCAGTGTAAATGAACATGCCCCGCTCTAGACCATTTTCAGTGGTGTTTATAACAGTCTGGTCATTAGTTCAACTAACAACCATGTAAGATGGATTTACCAACGTGTCTTCTGGGGCATAACTGTTCTCTGAAATGTTCTTATATGAATAATTCTGTGGTCACGTAAGTTTGGAAAACATTTCCTACTACACTTGTGTCTGGGAGAGCCAGTGTGCCTCTTGACGTTGTAAAGCTTCTACAGCACACACGCACAGACACACACACCTGTTTAAATTTAACACATAATTTCCTACTTTATTTAAGAGCAAAAAATACAATGGTGAAAGAATACCAGTTATTGTATCTATTAACATTTGGGAAAAGCTGCTCTGAGAATTTGTAGACCTAACATGAAATAAAGTTATAATGACTTTCAGATGATTTCTGAACAAAGCATCTTTATGTGATACCATTAAACTTACTTTCTCCATAAAAACATCTTAAGTAAAAAGCAAAGCAGCCATCTCTCTGAAGTAACCACAGATTCTTTGCAACTCAGATATGTAACTGTTTTTCATACATGGAATGATGTTTTCTAAGCGCTCAGAAGTCGTTGACCATTCGTTGTCTTCTCTGTAGCAATGACTAGCTCTTTGCTGAAACTGACTGCATTTCCTGCCTCTTCCCTGGAAGACTGGAGGAGGAGGATGAACACATGGGACTTACCAACATCAATAAACTCTCAGTCTTCCTCGGTGCACCTAGTTTTGTCTGAAAGGTTTACAACACAGAGATGCTTATATCACTCTCTGTGAAGAGAAGCATAGTTTGCTGTAAAGCTACAGAATAATTCGTGCCTGGTATTACCTGAACAAAAATAATTCACTCCTTAACTGCTGTCCACTGAGTTAAAAAAAAAATTATCCAACAGTACTTCAAACATAATAGACTTTTGCACAGTAGTCCCAGGAAACAGTCTTTGTAGGATACATAGAAAAACAATTTTCTATCAATTTTTTTTAAAAGAGTCTGTACATGAATCATTCTGTGGGCATGAAGAGATTTTACTAGCATCTTCTATAAGGATGAAATAATTCGTCAGGAAATTGCATGCACTTTGGCTTTCCCAATAGTACTGTGATTAAAACATCCAAAGGAGAAAGACCTGTATTGTTAGCTTTCTTTTTTTTTAAATGCTACCAAATGATAGAAATGATTTGCATAGGATTTTGATTTCATAAAGCACTTTCATATGTAGTATTTCATTTAAACATAACAAATCTCTGTTGTAGGCCACTCAGACTTTTGACGTTTTGCAGGAGAGAAGACCAAGGCTCAGAAAACTAAGGGATTTTCCTGGAATTAACTAAATAGTAAGACAAAAACACAGACCTTCAACTAGTCCTGTATTCTAAA